TGAAGGGTCCTGACCCCCGAGAGGAGCCCCCACCCCACCCTCCGAATAGCTCTCACAGGCCGCCTCGGAAGCTTTCCTCCCAGAGAGAGCCCCCTCACATCCTCAGATCGACCGCGCACGTCTACCTCAGACACCTTGGAGGGCGGTCCCCGGCGACCTCAGGGACCCCCTGACACTCCCATCCAGCCCCCCTCCGACGGTCCCAGGTCTTCCCGGGAGCCCACCCCTTCCATTCCCACAGGCTTCTCCAAAGACTGCCCTAGGTCTTGGAAATCGGCCTCAGAGAACCCTGCTCTGGCCCCAAATCCCCATTCTCCTCTTTCCAGAAATATTCCCCGAGGCCACTCCTCGGATATTCCGGCAATATGTGTCAGATGTCTTCTCCCTGCAAAACCCTAAAAACCTCCTTTCAGAGTCTCCTTCAGATCCCCTCCAGACCCGGACATCCCCGAAATCTTCCCCAGAGACCGACTTCACAGAGCCTCACAGTCTCCCCAGACTTCCCTGTCACATCCCAGGAATTTTCCCTCCCACCTACCTCCATCCCAGAAATGGCCTGTGAGATTTTCCACTCAGAGCCCCAAGTCTCAGAACTCCAGCCCCCCAAATCCTTTTGAATGACCCAGATGTGCTCTGAAAAGCTTCCTCAGAGAGTCTCTGAAACCTATGGAGAAAGAACCCTTCTTCCACGTTCCAAAAACTTCTTCCAAAACCTCTTTTGTGTCTCCCAAATCTTTCCCAGTAACCCACACCAAATATTCCAAAAATTGCTTCTGAATTGCAAAAATTTCCTTTGTATTTTCTCTCTATAACCGCCCCCCCTCCTAGACCTACTTTTAGGTGAACTTTCTCACATCCTCAAAACCACTGTAAACCCTAAGACCCTCTTCAGGACCCCTCTGAGGTACAGTTTTCCAAGATCTCACATCTTCTCAGAGACCCCTGAAAACCCCTTGAGCTCTCCTGAGATGTGCCCTTGAAATCCCTCCCATTGACCTTTCAAACACCCCCCAGAGCCCCTTGAGAGATCTCCTGCCTCTAAGACTTTTCTTAGAGGTTTTTCTCCCTGAATTCTCCCTTACAGTTTCGCTCAAATCCTCTAGAACCCCTCACTGTCAGTCTTCCTTCAAAATAACACTCTGAGCTCCTGCTCTTAGGAAGTCCCAGAATTCTTTCTGAAAAACCCTCTTCTCTGACATTCCGACATTCCCCTCAGAGGACCCACCTTCCCCATATACCCTTTTGAGGACTTTACTCAGAGGTTTTGCCTTATCTGAGCTCTCTGAGTTGTTCCTAAAAAGATCTCTGTCATCTTGCCTAGTACATCTAAAATCTCTTTCAGAAGACCACACCTCCCCAGAGACCCTTTAGAGAATTTTCTCCAAAATTGCACTTTATCAACAACCCAGCCCTCCAGCACTTCATGAGATTTCCTCAGAACTCTCCCTCAGATTCTCCTTCTGACACCCCCAAGAAACCTTATTCAGGACCATATCAGATTCACCTCTGTTAGAACCCATGTTTACACCATCTCCATTTTCTTTCTTCTGAAATCAACTTAGAGGTCCTTTGCAGACCTGAGCCTCTTTCCCCCATAATCCCTTCATAGGCCCCAACATCCTCCAGACAACCCTCCCAAGAGGCTCCATGTCCCCTTTCAATAAAAAGTTTCTCAAAAAACACTCAGCCCTTGAAATCCCAGTCCTCAGACATCTTCTCTGAGACTCTTTTTCTTAGGTTCCACCCTCATAGACTCCTTCCTCCCTTCAAAGGTCGAGAGACCCTAACACCCTCCCTAGAGACTACTTGAGGACTATGTCTATTTTTCTTTGAGAAGCCTTCACCTTCCTTTCCCCTTTGAGGACCTCCTCGCTAAAGAATCTCTTTCCCTATGGTAGGGGGCCTCAGAGTGTGGTCCTTTGACCAGTAGCATCTGCATTACCTGGGAACTTGTTAGAAATGCAAATTCTTGGGTCTTATTCCAGACCTACTGAATCAGGAAACCTGGGAGTCAGGCCCAGCAGCCTGTTTTTAGGAACCCTCCTGGTGATTCTGATGCATGCTCAAGTTTGACAACCACTGCCTCCTAGAAGGATTTCCCTTTCCCCACAGAAAGCCCCTAGAAGATGCCTCAGTGTATGCCTCTGTGCCCTACTGCCTACTCCCATTTTCCTGGGAGTACCCTATGTGAAGTACCCACGCTCCAGAAAGACCCTTACTCTCCTCAAAAGGCTTCTAGCTTCTCCACCTTCTGAGCAATTACTTCAGATTCTACTTTTAAATGGTTCCCTTTCAGATCTTCCTTAGCACTTTCTCCTCCTGGCTTCCCCTCCACCCCTCCGCAGTCTTTGGTGTTTCTGCTTCAAATTGCTATCTACTCAAACACACATGTCCATCTCTTCTCATATACTCATCTGTCCTCCACATAGACACCCTCCCCTTAAGGCACCTTCAAGTCTTCATTCTCTGTGTCTTACTGCCCAGAGCCCTTCATTGTGCTTCTTAGAGCATCACTCAC